GATTCATCAAACATGACAGGCTGAACCCATCCCTAGATTGTGTGATGTGCCGAGAGAGGACTGGGCCAGGGCAGGCCGCCAGGGCTCCAACCCCCCCTGGTTCTCGGCGTCCACACTTGCACCTGGGGAGCTGGAGCGAAACCTCTGGCTCTCACGTGGGCTCTCACGACACACCCGTGTTTCAAAACTGACTGTGAAGTGTGTCACACAACTAACAACAAAGAAATTAAGTTCTGAAAGATGTCCTTTCCTCATTAAAGAACACTCTAGGTTCTCCCTGTCACCCACCACCTCCCACTCACCTGGGTCTGAACGTGTTTTCTGGGCGTGAAGGGGGGTGGGAGGGTGCTCACCAGTGAGTACAAGGAGCATCTCTGCAAGTGCCCTTCACAGGAACACCGTGCGTGGGTCAGGAGAAAAAGGGATAAAAGTCACTGAAGTAGAGAACTACCTCTAAGATGACTTTCGGTCTAAATTTCTGATTTTTAGGCCAAAACAATGAAGATGATATATATATATGGGCAGTGCTCTGAAAGTCTGCACATAAACGCACGCTGATGCACTTAAAAGAGACATTCCCACAGAGCTCAGTCGGCACTGACGAGTGAGCGAGCCCACTCGCTGGTCTGTTCTGGCCTCAGGTCAGGAACAACAGAGGGTGCATCAAACGAAGAGGCGGCGAGGCCTAGTGCACAAAGGGACCCGCCGAGTCCCCAGCCCCAACAGCCCGACCTGGAGTGGGGTGGAGAAGTCACAGAGGCCTGTGGGAAGCCACGTGCCGCCACCAGGGGCAAGGCAGGGAAAGGAGAGGGGAGCAGGCCTTGGCATGGCACCTACTACGTGCCAACTCTGCCAGCAGCTTCGCACACACGGTGTCCCCAAAGTCCACAACAGCCCTGTGGGGGAGGCGCTGTGGGGGAGGCCCCATTTTACCACCAGGGACCGACAGCACAGGCCCAAGCGCTGAGGTGGCTGCGAGAATCCACGCTGTGCCACTTGCAGCCTCAGGACAGACACAAATGACAGAAGGCGCCGCCTTTGTAACGTGGACGGGCACCACAGCTAACTGAGGGCTTTCGTGAAACACACCGGGGGACGAGAACCGGAAATCGCATACATGCCACCTGGGTCTTTCACGGGCCTCTCTGGGGTTGCTCAACATTACGCTCCACCATGAGGGCAGTTACAGCAGCAACGGGAGGCTGTGGGATTAGAATGAGGAGAGGCGGAGGTCTGGAAAAGTCCATTTCTAGGCCCCAGGACAAAGAGGACAGATAAAGCAGATCCCGTCCTGGGTGGTCACCTTCTGAGCTCCATCCCACCCCCCGTGGCCTGAGGTAGGGCAGCAACTAACTGCAGAGCACCAGTGCCCCAGCGACCTCCACGCTGATGCTCCCTCCTCTCCAGTCAGCGGGGCACCCTCCGCCGGGATTCACCTCTCCACTTCCAAGCCTCCCCTTCCACTAGAACAGATAGCCCTCCTCCCCGTCCTCACCGGACAGTAAGAACCACGTCAGTCCAGGGGCTCCTTGAAAGGCCCAAGGCTAGAAGTCTCCAGGGACACACAGCCAGCCTGGCACCGGGCACCGCAGTGCGTTTGCTGCACGAACAAGAGACCGACTGAACGCGGGTTATCTACTTTATAGACAGCAGAAACGGCAACGACCTGCCCACCCAAGCCGGTCCCTTTGACACCCAGATGCAGTTAAGTGGGACAAGCTACACCAGCCATGTTCAGCCTTTTTCATCTCACAGCACACACAGACCACTAAGAGCAGAACCTGCAGCACACTAGAAAATGCACATGAGTACAATGTGCCAATCTGACAAAAAAAAAAAGGTGGTATTTTGATTCATTCACACCGGACAGCTATTGTTGCGTCAGCTGATGTCATTTTACTTGACTATAAGGAAACAGAGGTCAGTGCCCCCCACTGAACAGTCAGGTATCCCATGTTTTAAAAACTCTTTGCGGCACACCAGCTGAAAATCGCTGAGCTACGACCACGGAGGGGGATATCACCATTTCACAACCGAACGACAGTACCACTACCAGAGAAGACATCACAAGGACTCCTCCCACCCAGCAAGGCTGAGCGACCCAGGCGAAGGATTTCACATCCAGTGCAGCATCAGGTCCACAGCCTTGGAAAGTTCACCCTTATGAATGACTTCGAACAAATGTTATCATTCGTTCTGAGCCTGTTCTGAACCTGCTCTCTCGGCTGTCAGTGATCAAGAATGTGCTTCATCTGTTTGTCCCTCCAAACCCCGCCCCCCCCCAAGCTCCCCTCCGCCCTGCTGTGTGGACCCCATAGACGGGGTCTCCGGTTCTCTTGCTCCCAGCGGGGTTTGCCCAAGAGAAGACATCAGCAGATGTTTGGAGAGAGAAAGAGGAGGAAGAGGCAGGTCAAGGTATTTCTCCCAGATAAGAAACGGGCCGCTCCCTTTGACCATAGGTCTCCGCTGCTCTCGGGCGCCCTAGCCACACAACCTTTTGAAAAACCGGCCACGCCCCTAACCTCTTCGGGCCTTAGGGTGAGCACAGGTCCCGCTGGGACTAGCCCTGGGACACCAACCTTCCCCCAATTTCCCTGCCCAGCCTTTTAATAAACACGGCAGTCCCTCCAATAATCTTTGCTCAAATCACCCTAATTTGAAAGTGCCACCATTTCCCGATGGGACCCTGGATTACACAGGCGTTAACAGACGAGAAAGCACCTAACAAGTGACAATTAACTGCTGTTAGGACAACTACATGGCGAAGGAACTGTTACTCCCAATTTATAGACGAAGAAGCTAAACTCAGAAGACGTGAAATCCTCCCAGGTGCACGCAGGTGTGCAACACCCACAGCGGGTCTCAGCCTCCACCCGCTGAACTCTCTCCTTATCCATTTCCAGTATCATCCTCCTGATCACCGGTACTCCCTACCACACCACGAGAATTTCATCGCAGCTGCGGGGAACAGCCGAACGGTGCACTCAGGGGCGGGAGTTGTGAAATCGACCCCCAAGTTCAAAGCCTGACTCCCCCACTTGCAGGAAGTATAACCTTGAGCGAGCAAGTTCCCTTCGCGGGGACCGCACTACAGCCTCACCGTGCCGCGGCGAGGGTTCACGGGGAAGACGCGGGCAAAGCCCCAGGCGAGCAGTGCTGGGCGTTACGCCCAGAGATGGGCGTTACCGTGATTAATAGAGGCTCGGCGGCCCCAGCGGCTGCAAGACCGCTCAGGACCGTGGAGGAGGGCCGGGGCCTGGGGACCTGAGGGAAGGCGTCCGCTGCCCGCCCCCGGGCGCACCTGCTCCTCCAGCCGCTCGATCTCCAGCTGGTTCTTCTCCTCCTCCTCGTCGTACTCCCACTCGTACTCGCCCGGGGAGCTCGCGGAGGAAGCCGTGGGGTACTCCTCGTCTCCGTCGCTCTCACTCACGCCTTCCTCCTGCTGGTCCCACGCTGGCCCCATAGTCTTGTACGTCGCAGAGGCCACCGCCCGCGATAACACCTTTCTCCTGGTCCTCGCAGCCTTAACCTCATCCTCCTCGCCCTCCACCTCGGGCCCCGCCTTAGGCTCGGCCTCGGGTTCTGAAGCCGAGGCTGCGGCTGCCGTCGCCATCTTGCGCTAGTGACTCCCGGGTTTTCACTCCGCCGCCGAGGACCCGCCGGCGTACAAGCTGCCCGCGGCGCGCGCCTGTCTGAAACTTCGCTCTCTTGCCACTGGAAGGGAAAAGGTGAGCCTCGGATGATGAGGAAATATCTCAGTACACTCAACTGATTTTGTTTTCATTACTTTTGTGGAAGTTCTCGTGAGAAAAAAAAGTCTCACAAATACGGCATCTGTTCTGTCTCAACTTCGGACGGAGTTGGGTCTTTGGACCGGAAGTGGAGGCCATTAGAGGAAGTCGCGGTGGGAGCGTGATGACTGTAGTTAAGGGTTTGGCGCCATCTTGAGAAGGTCAAAATGATTGTGAGAATAAATAAATGCCTTACATCTGACTTGGCGTGTGGTTCAAGTATTCCCATCAAGTGAGCCTCAAACGCAGAGAAAACCCGAACTCTTCGGGGATCGATTGCACCATTCATGAGAAAAACCCATTTCCCAAAGAGAATTCTCCCTTTTATGTTTTGCCTGGTGCCTAGTAGGCATTTTAAATACACGTGTGAGTTTCCTCGTTGTATAAGCTTATATTCTGCAAACCAATATAATAAATTACACTACAAGCATTTAACTAGAAATTCTGAATTGCCAGGTATTGTCATAAAATTTGAGTTTACTGTTATTTATACAGAAAAAAATGTTTCTAAATCAGGACATGGAGCTCGTTCCTTTTTTAATCTTTTAACATTCCCATTTTGAGGCATGAAACTATAGGTGTGTTTATTTGTTCCCTTGCTCCTTCACGAGCAAGCTTGGTGAGGCAGGAATTACGTGTTTTTCTTTCCGTTGGATCCCCAAGGCCTAGTACGGCATCTTGACTCATGGTGGGCATTCAACACATACATGACTATGAATGAATTGTCCTTGAATTACGTATTACAAAAGACCGAAGCTTAAAGAGCTCACGTCATTTTCCTAGGGTCACATAACCTGGAAGGTGCAAAACCAGGATGCTCATTCACTATTGTCCAAATTTGAATCCCAAATGAACCTAACTTTCTGAGCAACCTTGGACAAGTTACTAAGCCATTCTGAACCTGAATGTCTTTAGCTGCATTTTGGGGTTAAGAAAGGTGGACTGGTTGATCCTCCGCGGTGGGCTTTGCGGATGTAAACTTGGGTCCCGCACCGCAGCCTGAGATCTACCCTCTTACATCCACACCCCAGCGCGGAGGACGAGCCCTCAGGCGACTTCAGACTTTCCCGCTCTGCGACCCGCTTTCCCCCGAGGGGCGTGGTCGAACGCCGACACGTGCACGCAGCGGGAGGATGCAGGTCCTAAATCGCGGTGACGTCCTAGAGGCCGCGCGCACTAAACTCGGAGTCGGCTAGCAGGAGCGCCCCGCCCCCTAGTCTCGCTCTTGGCCTGCGCAGGCGCAAGGCCGCAAGATGGCGGCGGCTGGAGTGGGCCGTCTAAGGCGAGCGGCGTCGGCCCTGTTGCTCCAGAGACCGCGCCTGCCCGCCCGGGAGCTATCAGCTCCGGCACGGCTCTATCACAAGAAGGTAGGGGTGGGCAAGGGGGTGCGTGGGGTCCGCAGCGATCGGGGGCCAGGAGTACTAGGGTCGCCAAGGAGACTTGTGCGTGCCGGCGCTGGACCGAGGCCCATTCTAGAGAGGAGTGGCCTCGGGATTCTGCGCCGCTTGGGGATCCCCTGCCAACGCCCAGGGTAACAACGGCCCCCGGCTCAGGATAGAGGGGCCGCACCCTCGCGCAAATTTGCCTCAACTTCCCTCGCTGCGCAGTGACACTAACCACGCAGGAAACAAAAGCTGTCCGCGGGTCCTGCTGTTGGCTGCCGTCGTGCATCCCAGCCTTTAAACACCTGAACACCCCAGAAAAGAGGGTCCCGTTAGGGCCTGCCAGCCCGACTCCTGGAAAACACACACACCCGGGCGGGCTCTGGCTTCAGCCAGGCCCCTGCCCTGGCCAGGTGACCTTGGGAAAGTCGCTGCCCTTCGCTGAACCTGTTTCCCCATTTGTAAGATGGATATCTTACTTAGCAGCCCCTTACACAAGATACTCGTGCCTAACCCGTGGAGACCATTTATGGTGCCGCTGTTGTTCTTGTAGGAGCTCATAGCCTCCGAGTGGAGTCACACGCGAAGCCAACAGTCCTGTTTTCATTTTCACGTTTCGTTTGGGGTGGGGGGGATAGGGATAGGTATGTAATTTGCAGCCCTTGCCTTCCGGGGGCGTAAAATCCCCTAGACAGGAGACTCTAGCACTCGGAAAACAATTAACGAAAGAATGCAGTAAGTCAACATGGGGCAAAAACTCCCGACTGTATATTATCTTGTAGGTGCGAGGGCTTGGAGTCAACGTCCGTGCCGGATCGGTGGCGGAAGAGGGATGGACGACCAGTATACTTACGGCTGGCTGGTTAAAAACCTCAAGGCTAGTAGAGCCTTCTGTGCGCCAGTTTGAGTAGACATTTATTATGTTTTGGCTTCAGTTCCTCTCCAAGGCCTTTGCTCCTCCCCCACCCAGGGGTGTGTTTTGTTGACAGTGCACGCCGAATGCGTTCAGGCTGGCAGCCTTCTAGCCACCAGGGTGCGCTGCTGCACCGGGGCGATTTCAGGGCCCTGAAATCGTGATGGAACTGAGTTTATCATCAGACAGAATTGGGCGCTTTCATAGCATTGTTCCTCTGTAACAGTCTCCTTGAGGCTTCTAGGAAAGCCTTCAATTTATGGACCATAGTTGCTTTTAGAGTTTTTGAGTAGAAATTATCCTTTGAGAACAGTTTTATTTGGAAATAACAAAAGTGTCATTGGAGCCCAGATCTGGTGATTTAGGTGGGTAAAGGTCAAATAATTACATACAGTTAAAAACCCTTTGGAACTAAAACATGATTTTCCTCCAGTATCACAAACCTCAAGGTAATTGGAGAGGACATGCAAAAAGGCTTTGGGTCACAAACGTTCTCACTGACAAGAGGTGACATCTGGTACTCAGTGACTGCCCGCCAAGCTCCGCGTTGCTGGCGTTGCGCTCACCATCAAATCGGCACCAAAAAGGAGTGATGTGATTTCTCCTAATGCTCTCATTTCAGGTGGTTGATCATTACGAAAATCCCAGGAACGTGGGGTCTCTTGACAAGACCGCTAAGAATGTTGGAACCGGATTGGTGGGGGCTCCAGCGTGTGGGGATGTAATGAAATTGCAGGTACAGCTGGTTTTCGTCGTTGGTGGTAACAGTGGTGCTGTGTGTGCTTCCACGGCTTACGGACCGTTTTATTTGCTCTCCACTTTGATGCCGGTGAATGGGGATGAGTCAATGTTACAGACAGTCAGAGCCGAGCCTGCATCCTAGTTCTGGCACACTGCGCTGACCCTTTCTTTCTTTCTTTTTTTTTAATAGATGGGATGATATATATTTTTTAAATATTTTATTTATTTATTTTTAGAGAGGGAAGGGAAGGAGAAAGAGAGAGAGAGAGAAACATCAATGTGGGGTTGCTGGGGGTCATGGCCTGCAACCCAGGCATGTGCCCTGACTGGGAATCGAACCTGCAACACTTTGGTTCGCAGCCCACGCTCAATCCACTGAGCTATGCCAGCCAGGGCGACCCTTTCTGATACAGTAAACTGATTGCACTGTTCTACCCACTGAATCAGCTTAAATTCCAGCATCAGTTTAGTAAAAGGCCCTGTGAATGTCACTGACCAAAGGGAAACCACAACTGGTGAGCTAGCAGTCCCCAGCGAGAGAAGAAACCCAGTAAATCAAACCCCCCCTAAACTGAAGACGACAACAGGAAGGTAGAGACTAGCACTGTGGGTAAACCGTGGCGTTGTCCACAGTCTCCTTCACGGTGGGTGGGCGGCTCGCCAGAGTCTCGGGGCCTATCTTAGAAAACAGAAACGAGGTGCCGCAGCCACTAACGGCGGTGGAGAGAATGGCATTAGCCAGAGCCGTGAGTGGGACTCGCCCCACGTCTTCAGAGGCGGTCTGACATCACAGCCATGAGAACTGCGCAGCCAGAAGCAGGCTATGGTCACAAAGCTGTGAGGGGGGCACATTTTTCAGCTGCTCTCCACCAGCTGGGCCTATATAATTCTATATAATCACTCTTGTGTTTGACATCCCATCACTGCACTCTTCAAAGCAAACTCGGTAGTTAATGCCAAAGCTGAAAGCGGGGAAAGCCACACCAGAGCTGCTGGGGAGAGCCCCAGCAGGCCTCCGTGAGTGGCCCACCCCGTCTCTCTGCTAGATTCAAGTGGACGAGAAGGGGAAGATCGTGGACGCCAGGTTCAAGACGTTTGGCTGCGGTTCTGCAATCGCCTCCAGCTCGCTGGCCACCGAGTGGGTGAAAGGGAAGACGGTAAGGCTGCCTGCAGACCCGGAGAGCTCGCTCCCGTGCTCCACAGCTCGGCGCTCAGCTGTGGGAGGGGAGGGCCTGGGGGGGGGCGGGGGGAGAACAGTAACTAGGGCTTTTGATTTCCCCTGCCCAGATTTGTATTAAATTCCTCTCCGCCTTGGGAACAGTGAATAATTTTATTAATGTTTTTTAGTCGGGGGGGGGGGCGTTGTTCATCACTTTCACTTGGGGGTTTCTGTGGTGTTTTGTTTCTAATATAAAAAAAGATCCTCAACCTCTCCATCTAACAAAATAGAACTCAGAAGGAATCTCGGGCGTTCTCCGCGGTTGCCGGTGTGACAACTTCTCAGGAATCTCAGTCAGGCCAGGGGGAGTTGTACAGCGGTTTGTTTTCTGCCGTGTGCTCAGGAAGGACAGCAGGGGCTTCTAAGGGTTCTGGGAACGAGAAACGGGCCTGTGGAAAGAGGGACCGAAGAACCCAAAGCACGCGGCGGGTGGGGGCAGAGCGAACAAGCACAGGCGGACAGGGGTGCGGGCGGAGGGAGAAAGGCAGGACGTCTTCTCCATCCTCGTCTTTGCCGGGGCCTCGTTCCCCAGCAGCTGCGGGAGTAAAGGCCCGAGCCCAGTGCAGAGCCGTGCTTTCCAAACTCCAGTCGTCATTAAACCCTCCCGGAAAAGCCCAGCTGCAGGCCGCTCGTCCTTGGAGCCCCAAGGACGCACATGTGAGGAGCGGAGTCACGCAGAAGAGTGCGTGTGGCGCTGGGCAGTGCCACGATGGGAGCGGTTTGCTGCGCCAAGCGCCACCTGCCTCCTGTGGCCCCGGGCCTGCTGGCTGGTGAGCTCCCTCGGGCCCAGGCGGCACACACCTGACCTGTCCTGGCAGGAGGAGGCTCCGCAGTGCTCTGTCATCGGCTGTCTGCAGGGAGAGGGGCAAAGAGGAGACGGCGCACCCGTGCTCCCGGGACCTGGCCCTGAGGGGCCTTTGAGTTGCGATCAGAAAATGGAGGGAGGTGGCCTTCCTCTGACCTTGAGATCCTCCCATCTGAGTTTCCAGAAAGAGAACTGAAGTCATAATTCAGTGGAGTTAGCAGAACTGTCCGATTAGGGGAACAGAAAGATGGGGAAATCGGCTTTTCTTAAGCTGGCGGGCCCCTGTTCCCCAAGGGCGAGGAACCTCCCGCCTCTCGCTCTGCCCTGGGCCCGACCACACCCCAGGCGCCTTCTCCCTCGGGTGCACAGAGGAAGAGCCTACACAGAGCCCTCAGCCCGGGCCTCCCTGGGCCACCGTCCCGTGCTGGAGCAACGCTTCGGCGACCTCCCAGTGCCACCAGCACTGCTAGTGGAAGGGGCTCATTCTAAACATTTGACATAAGGACCTCGGAGAAGCCGATATTCACAAAAGCAGCACAGGAAGTCACCGGCTCCCGGCAAATCCGATTCCTGGGAGACTTCTCACGGGGTCTCTTCCTGGCTCTCAGAAGCGGCCCTGCCGGCCCTGCCAGGCCGCGCAGCTGTGTACACCTCCCACCTGAGACCCCCCACCCCCGCAGCCTTGACACACAAGTGGGGGTCCTGAGGAGGTCCTCCACCTTCGTTGGGGGTTATTAGCAGAAACCATCCCCTGACTCCCTACCCTGAGGGGCTTTCTCATCATCTGTCTCCCCAGACAGAGCACCACTAACCACTTCTCTTCCCCACCCGCCTCAGGTGGAGGAAGCCTTGACCATCAAGAACACAGACATCGCCAAGGAGCTGTGCCTCCCGCCGGTGAAGCTGCACTGCTCCAGTGAGTCTGCCCTCCGGGGTGTGGGCCGGGGGGCTCGTGCCGGAGTCACCCCGCTGCGGTGGCGGAGTGATGGCGGATCCTCTGTAGTCAGGACTCTGTCCCTCTGACCTCCCGAGGGCTCGCGCCCCCGGTGCCACACCTCCTGTGGGGGAGCGTGCGGGAGGCGGTGTGCGCCGGGCCTCGGTCTGAGCGCTTCCCGGCACCTTAACAGGCTGATGGAGGTTACCGACCAGATCAGGTAAAAAGCAACCCAGAGCCAGGCCTCTGGCCAGGGGAGGGCTCACGGAAGAACCGAGTGCCGGGACAGGGACAGGCTCACTCAGTCCTCAAGGAGTCCGCTCAACCCCAAGTCCTTTCCCCTGGAGCTGGAGTTCCGAGCGCCCGTGAACAAAGGGCTTAGCTTGCAGGCGTCTTCATGCGGCGTCAGACAAAGCCCGGCCTTCTCGGCCAGGGCCCTGAGCTCGGGCTGTCCGCTGGCCTTGGGCCGTTGTTCCGGCTCCCCCGACTCTGAGCTTCCTCCGCAGCCCCGCTCCCACGTGAGCGTTCACCTGTAGGGTCACTGGGGAGGGACGTCAGCCAGCTTAACCAGCATCCACTGCATCCACTCCAGTCTTCCCCGTGAGAACTAACACTTGTTGTGTCCCTACTGTGTGCCAGCCACGCCATGCACGTCCTCACACAGACCCAGCAAGAAGAGCACAGTTGTCCATTTTCACAGAAGAGAAAGTAGATCCGCAGAGACTCAGAAACTAACCTGGAACCCCAGGGACTCTGCCCCCACTCCGTCTCCATAGCCACCGCCGGGGGATCTCGGGCCTGCTCCAGCACTGCCCAGAGCCACCCCACTGCCCTCAGGGCCCCAGAAATTCCATAACTGAGGCTGTCTTTCCTTCCTTTTTCTTTCCTTCCAGTGCTGGCCGAAGATGCGATCAAGGCCGCCCTGGCCGATTACAAACTGAAACAAGAACCCAAGAAAGGGGATGCGGAGAGCAAGTGAGCCCTCAGTGGTGGAGCTGCCCACCGGACACTTCGCTTCAGCCGCCGGCCCGCCCGCCCACCGCCACGCAGCCCCCAGAGCGCTCCTAGGCAGAGCTGTGCCCTGCCGCACGCAGCCTTGCTGTTCCCATTGTGGCTGTAATGCAAGAAAAATACACCGTTTAACCGTTCGGAATCCTGTGCTTTCTTTCAGCCCCTTTGTCGCCTCGGTCCGGTTTATGTTTAATTGGGACTGTGCGTGTGGCCTCAAAACTGCCATCAGTAGTGACGTCTCAAGCCTCGCTCATCCTTGAAGTGCTCAGAGACGTGTTTTACCTGAATCTGTTTGGGGAGATTACGGACAGAATGGCTTGGAGTGATTATTTGACAGAACCAAGTGTTGTACATAAAACAGATCTGCATATATATAATAAATAAAAGAAAGTCAGACAATGTTTCCCTCTGTTAGGCCATGTCTCTCGGATACTGCACCCCGAAGTGCTGCCCAGAGCCCCTGGGGTTCCCAAGTGCTGGGCCGTGGCCACACACCCCTGCACACACGGTGGGGGTGGGCGGGAGGCTGCGTGTGGAGACCTGTACGAAGCTGATGTCCCGTTCCAGGGGGCGAGGGTGAAGGCCAAAGGAGACGGCCATCGCTCTTGTTCGCTCTTTGCAAAATAATAACAGATCGACAACTCAAGGGGAAAGCAGAAGATTCTTTGTGTAATTTCACTAGCTTTTGAAGTCCTGACATCTGGCGGATGCCGGCTTAGACGATGCTGCAAAGCTGTGGACCAAATACAGTCAAGGGCTGCCGGGGAGTGAGTTGAAGACACAGAATTCCAGGCCCAGGGTGGTGGCGTGGGTCTGGGCAGGTGCCTCTCCCACGCAGTGGGCCAGCCACGGGAGGAGCTCCTCTGCCCCATTCTCTGCCCTGTGCAGGTGCGGTGTCCTTACCATCCATTCCGAGCTGTGCGGGTGTGCACAGCGAGCTGGAGCTGGAAACATCCCTCCCCCGTGCAGGCTCCATTACTGGGCACTGATCACTGCCCCCGCCCCCCTCCCCCCACCCCCTGGGGCTGACGGGCGGGCTGGAGCCTTCTGAGGCACCCAAGTCCACCACAAGAGGCCTGATTTTCTCATGAAAACACGACACTGAAATTCTAGCGAGCAGTCTGAAGTCTCAACTCTCCCAAAGTAAGATGTGTCTTTTCTGATGTGGCTTTTTTGCTCAGTCATGAGCTAGCTGCCTCTTCTCTCTTCTCTTAAAGATACCTCCTTTAAAATATATGTATGTGTGTATATATATATATTTTTTAAGATTTTATTTATTTATTTTTAGAGAGAGGGGAAGGGAGGGAGAAAGAGAGGGAGAGAAACATCAATGTGTGGTTGTCTCTCACCTGGCCCTCACTGGGGACCTGGCCTGCAACCCAAGCACGTACCCGGACTGGGAATTGAACTGGTGACCCTTTGGTTCACAGCCCGAGCTCAATCCACTGAACTACACCAGCCAGGACTTTTTTTTTTAAGTCCTCTGGGTTCCCGGGAGGGCAGGGAACTTCAAAGGCAGCTCCCTCCACACACAGCCTATGGAGACCACAGAGCAGACCTTTATGAGAATCTCGAATTAGAGCCCCCGGGTGAGCCGCACCGCGTTGTCCTGTGTGGCATGCCTACTGTTTAATTCACGGTCCCTCCAGGCTGCTGGTCTCTCCCTTCTTTATTATAGGTGACAACCCTACAATTCCCCACCACATTCCTTTAGGATTTTTTTAAATGAGATGTTTTTGTCCTGGTGAACGCCCTCTGAGAGCTGAAGCTGAACTGGACACATCAGACGCCACTTACTCGTATAAACAACCAAAACAGTATCACCGGAATAGCCCGAACCTCAAACTATGTGGTGGTGCAGATAAAAGAGCAGTTTTTCAAATTGACGTTAAAGCGCTCCCGTTTCCCGGCAAATCCAGCTTGCACCACACGGGGGCGTCGTGCGCCTTTCGATAGCTGAAGCCTAGGGTTTCCTCCTCTCCAGGTGGGTCTCAAACTCTTCCGCGGGGATCTTGATGCCTCCACCAGGCACCTGCGCTCTCTCTGTGAGGGGCCCTGACACCTGTGACCCTGCTCGTTCTCATGACAACCCACTGGGGTCGGTTTCAGACGAGGACACTTGGCTCAAGGGGTCAACTGACTCAAGGCAGCTCACTTGGGGGGGGTGACCCGAAAGCCCACGCTTCTCCTGCCTGGTTTCCCTCTGGCAGAACACACCGCGGGTTCTGACCGCGCATCAGAGGCTCGCCTGAGCCCTGAGCATGCACATGAAGAAGGTGAACCTATAGGATGGGCCCAGCTCCTTCATTCGGCCAACCCACCACCACACGGCGCAGCCCTCACCGGGCCTGTGCACTTGAGCCATCGCGGAGCCCGGTTCCATCGGCGTGGTAGGGGAGCAGCCTGGGCACTGGGGTTCTTTAGAAGCGCCCCAGGGGCCTCCAACGTGCCCTCATGGGTGGGAACCACCATGAAGCGCTGTGCACTTAGCAAAGCAGTTTGCTCAAGTTATTCTGAAGGATGCTTACAGTTGTGAGAACGCGTCACCTCCCACCCGCAAAGAACTCTTGAATCCCCCTTCCTCTCTGCCCCGCCCACCACTGCCCACATCTGATCTGCCTTAGTCTACGTCTCCATCCCCTCTGCCCTGGCCTCCCCATCCACCTCCCTGCCTCCGGCCTCACTGCTGGGACCGCTCCCCACGTGGCTGCCAGAGGGGTCTTTCCCAGCAAAACTCTGACCCTCTCACTTCTCTTCTTAAAACCCACCCATGACTTGCTGCTGCCCTTGGGACAAATTCCAAACCTCCTACCACACCGGTTGCTTTGTTCCAGCCACACTGAACCGTGACTGCAGACCTCACGCTGTTCCTGCTGCCGGGAATGCCCTCACCAAGCGTCTGTCCTTCACCTCCACTGGGCCTGGGAACCTCATCTCAGGCAGCACCTCCTCTGGGAAGCCTGCCCTGATTCCGCCAGGCTGAGTCAGCCGCCCCTCAGTGCTCCCCAACCTCCGCCACCCTTTCCTAATCACACATGAATCATGGGCGGCATTATAATTTACTGTTTTCTTCTCTTCCTATACCATTCCCCAGAGACTGAGTCTTCTTTTTTATATATAAATTATTTTTCCAATTTTAAACAGATAATGCAGTATTTTTTACAAAAAAAAATGCAAACAGCCTGAAACAGAACAGCGTGATTCGTTTCCTGCCCACCCTAATTCCTTCCTCAAAGGCAGGCTCTGATGCACATTTTTCAAGTGTCCTTCTGAAACCGTTCTAGGCACATCCAGGTACGTATATGGAGAAACAGACCGTTCCTTTTTTATTTTACACAAACGGTAGTGTACTTCTCATACTTCTGCATCTTATTTTCCGCTTGAGCATATTTCTCCGTATCAATTCCTGCACACCTGCCTCGTTGTTATGAGCGAGGCATCTGTGTGCGGTGGTCTGTCAGTCAGTCTTCTGCTGGTGATCGTGGAAGGTGGTTGAATGCCAATGTCTACATTAGAGAGCCCAGCATCTGACAGTTCTCGACTTACTTGGGGCTCCATGAATGCTTATGGAGGAGCCGGGTGGATGGACAGATGGATGGATGGGTGGGTTTGTGGGTAGGTGGGTCGATGGGCGGTTGGGTGTGTGCGTGGATGGGTGGGTGGGTAGATGGATGGGTCCATGGTCGTGGGCGTGTGGGTGGGAGGCGGATGGACGGGGGTGCAGAAACAGGCTGGGGGAGGTGAGAGGGACTGCCCCAGATGGCACAGCCAGGAAGCGGCGGGTTCAAGTCCTCGCTGAGATGCCCTGCCCACCCCCACCCCCCTCCAAGCACCACACCGCAGCTCTGACCATGCCTCTAACCTTTCCTACATGTTATCCCTGGATTTTGACCACTTGAGACCACATAAAAATGCAGTTTTAGAACCTCACTTTAAGCATTATCCTCTCAAAACTAGCCTTACTTATCATGGAACCCTCTTAAAGAGCCAAGCAAATGAGGAGGCAGCGCTTGATGATTTAGGCCCCTTGAACTTGAGGCAAAAGTGAAGACTCTGGGCCCCGGCTGAGTAGCTCAGTGATAAAGCATCGTCTCAATACATCAAGGTCGCAGGTTCAATCCCTGGTCAGGGCACCTACAAGCAGCAACCAAGGAACGCATCAATGGGTGGAAACAACAAATACGTGCTTCTGTCTCTCTGCCCAAGATCGGTAATAATAATAATAATAAAGCTTTTTTAAAGAAAAGAGTAAGGACTGTGTGTCCATCCTCGTGACAGCACAGACAACTTCTAGGCCCCACTGAGACTTGAACGTGTGTTCAAGCCCTAACCAGACGATGGATGTGGACCTCATCAATGGCTCTTCCTGGCCTGTCCGCTTGCTTGCTCCACCCTCCAAGATGACATCAAAAAGCCACCTCCTGGAGACGACCACCTCCCCACAGGGAGGCGGCGCCAGGACAGAGCAGCGTGAGCCCGGAGCACTGGAGTCAGATACACAGGAGCCTTCAGCCACCCCAAGCCTCAGCGTATCCCTCTGCACACTGGAAAAGGTACCAGTGCTACCTGGTCGGGTTGATGGGACGACCACCTGAGACTGTGCGTATAAAGCACATGGCGGCAGGGAGGAAGCCCAGGGTCATCACAGCAGCTGCTAAACCTCAGCCCCACCTCCCGGGCCCAGTTGCTAGGGCCTCCTTCCCCGGCACAGCGCTCCGATCCACAGTGCCACGATTGTCTCGGGTTACAGATGAAGACCCAGAAAGGTACAGTAATGTGTCCAAGCTCACGCAGCCGGGAGGTGGTGGAAGCAGGATTCTAGGCCAAGGGCACCACCACTCTTTTCTGTCCTGCCGTTATCACGGTTATTAGTAGGACCGGTACTATTAGCATCACTGCTAATACTAACTACTGTTACTCTTACTGTTGTTGTTACTAGTGGTAGTACTACTGTTGCTATTTTTTTAAATACAGGTGACCTCCAAGCTTCCAACCTGGTTTTCTTTGCCATGGGGCCAGCCCCCCGGGCAAGGGCTCCAACATTAAGCAAAGCTGTGGTCCCCCTGTACCCTTGCAGGAGACACACAGGCATGACTTCTGTCACACATGGCTTGACAGGCAAGCTCGCTCCACAGTACTTGGCCAACCACAGGGCACGGCTGTTTCCCGGGCCCAGCCTCAAATGCCGCCAGCAGCACCCCGCCCAGCTATCTTCGGAAAGGTCACATTGGACACTCCCACCGCTGGCGGCACTTCAGAGCCGCGGCTCTCAGAATAACCCCAGCAGCCCACCCACGCCCTGCAGGGAAGGCACTTACTCCCCTGGGGCTTTGGTACCAAAGAGTTTCCAGGGGCCTCCCTTCCTGGCCCGGGGACCTTCCTGGCCAATGGGTCAAAGGCT